GCGCGCTACTTCCCAACACTGTAAAATATAAATGTAAACTTATTGTAGAAGAACTAGCATAGCATGGCGTTTATTAGGTCTACTTGATATTACTACAGTACAGAAGTCCAATTCCTTGTTCGATCAAATCTTAGAATGCTTCTGCATTGTAGGTAGGCTTATCTACATTCATCTTGACTATGTACAATATTTACATATATACATGACATTCTAAATGCCAGCCAACCACTATCAGAGTTAGTTTAGTTCATTCATACCCTTTTAGTGCTTTTGGTGCCCAATGGGATCAATTTCATCGTTAAGAATAAACGATGAGTTGCATGATTAAAGCTCAAACTTGCCTGTGGCAAACATAACCTAAAATGCGTTCACGATCGTCTGCTGTGCTGGTTTGTCTGTTTATCGTCGTCTGTCTGCTGTCGCTGTCTTACATTTAGCATTTACATTTAACACATTTTGATTTTTGCTGCCCATTATAGGGGAGGTAGGCCTATATCTAATTTATAGTTTTCAGATTTTAGTTTTACCTTATTTAAAATACAATGTACGTCTAATAGGATTGCAAAAACAGAGAACAAGGTTTACCTAAGTTCATGACAAGGTATTAATTTACTTAACATAGGTACCAAGATTGGATAAACCCTCATTTATTAGCTTGTGCATAATATATATTATCAATACATTATTTTGTTATATAATTTCTATATTATGTTTTTAGTTAATTGTTGTTCTTCAATTTTGTGAAATTTATCTTCAAACTGTCGTGGTTCTTTATAATAGAAGAAGGCATAACTTAGTTTAGGCCTATTTATTTTTATGAGACCATAGCCTAATTGTTACTTTTCATTCATTCAGTTTAAGGTACAGGGCTGCACTTTACTTTACGTCCTACACTAATTCGAATTAAAATAAGTTATTGATTATTCGATTGTTTCATTCGATATACCTATTGTTTGGTTAGTTAGGTTAGGTTGACCTCACCTAACTAACCAAATGATATAAGTAACTTATCAAACAATCTGATCGATCGATATTTTCATTTGAATGAGTGTAGGACGTAAAGATAAAAGTGCAGCCGGGTACAGTTCTGCGGACAACCTGCGATATTTTATTGGATGAAATATTAGTTTGGCTGATAGGGTACATTTTCTTAACTGGGCTAAGTTATGCTAATATCGATTGAAACTATCGAATTGAAAATATTAATTAGTAAACCGCTGAAACCGCCTAGATATTTCAAGGGTACTTGAGTATTAAACGGAGGCCACCTAACCTACAGTTTCTTAACTTAGCTATGATAATACTGATTATCATTAGTGACTAGTCACTGATTAGTGACTGCCACCACTAAAACTGCCATTGATAACGTCGTCACCAACGTGCCCAATAGTCATGTTACTGTAATTGAAACTGCTATATCTGACCACTTTGCTCAGGAGACAATTATCGGAGAATGTTTACCGGAACTTGACCCCCCTTTTATTAGTATGAAACGTGACATGTCCCCAAGTCATATATCTCTTTTAAATGAAAATCTCACTAAAGAGACATGGACATTTATAGATAGTTTTCTATCAACAGAAGAAGCTTTTAATGCATTTAATAAAGTTTTAATTTATAATCTTGATGTAGCCTGTCCATTAAAAAAGTGTAGAAAGAAAATAAAGAATACAAAGAATTCCTGGATCACCCAAGGAATTCTGATTTCACGACAAAATATAAAATCTTATTCTCTGATATATAAAACAACCAGCGATGAGCAATTCAAAATATTTTTTAAAAGATACAAACGAATTTATAGGAAGGTTATTAAAGCAGCAAAGGCTTATGCTATCAATAAGAAAATAAAAAATTCAGAGAACGTTTCAAAAACAATATGGAGTATTATCAACAATATAAAAAACGATAAAAAAGTCAATCCAATTGCACTAAACGTCAATGGAAACCTTGTGAATAACCCAGAGGATGTTGCCAATGCTTTCAATATTTTTTTCCAGTCAGTTGGCGAATGTAACTTAAAACAAAACCCAACACCTCTTAACAGTCATTTCTGGCCCAATCCGGTATCATCAATGATTTTAGCTCCAGTCAGTGAGATTGAGGTTGCACGGGTCATTCATGATCTTCCATCAAAAAAATCTGACGATATTAATGGCATGTCAATGTGGACAGTTAAGCAAATTTATCTGCCAATACTGATCCCATTGACAAAACTCATCAATCTGTCACTTCAGTCAGGAACTTTCCCATCTGCATTGAAAATTGCAAAAGTCATTCCAATATATAAAAAAGATGATCCACAAATTTTAAATAATTACCGCCCAATCTCAATCTTACCAGTTATGAGTAAAATATTTGAGAGGATCTTTCTCACTAGGCTTCAAAACTTTTTGGAAAAACATAATATTATCTCAGAAAATCAATATGGATTTAGACAAGGAAAATCCACGATAGACGCTGTAAATAAATTTATTGAAGATGTAATTGAAGGACTAGAGAATCGAAAAAAGACACTTGGTGTCTTCATCGATCTTTCAAAGGCGTTTGATTGTGTTGATCACGACATACTGTTAAGGAAACTGGAGCTCTGCGGCATCCGTGGAGTCCCACTTATGTGGCTTAGATCTTACCTCGAGGGTAGGACCCAGTACGTACAGGTGTCGACTTGCAGATCAAAGACCTTAAGGGTCTGTCAAGGGGTCCCACAGGGTTCAATCCTTGGTCCAGTTTTGTTCTTAATTTATGTTAATGACCTCCGCTCCTCTATGGTCGGCGGAAAAGTCATACAGTATGCAGATGACACGACTCTCTATTTTCAATCAGAATCCCAAAAAAGTCTTGAAATTGAAAGTTTTATCAATTTGAACGCATGCATCCAAAAGTTTCAGTCTGAAAATTTAAACACGAATCAGTCAAAAACGACGTACATAAATTTTTCCCTTCGTCACCGTAACGACGAGACAACGCCAACTGTAATGATGGATGAAACCTGCCTGAAAGAGGTTGATTCCACAAAGTTCTTAGGGATGCACTTGGATAGAGTGCTGAACTGGCAAAATCATGTAGATAGCATCTGTCCAAAAATTGCAAAAGGGGTTTTTGCCTTGCGTAATCTCAAGCCTTTATGTTCAACACAAGTTTTGGTCATGGCCTATTATGGCCTCATTCATCCCCATCTTTCCTACGGATTAAGATTGTGGGGGGGTTGTGCCAGACAAAATTTTAACAGGGCATTTAGGCTTCAAAAAAGAGCCATCAGATTAATTGCAAATCTGAGGCGGAGAGAGTCGTGTAGACAAGCATTCAGGGAGCTTGGAATTTTGACCCTACCTTCCCTGTATATGTTGGAAACGGCTGTATACTGCCGGTTTCAACATAAGCCTATCCAAGGCACTGCTGTGCACAGCCACGGGACTAGAGCAAGGGAAAGTTTTCGCACTGTCCAACACCGAACAGCTGCATTTGAGAAACTTCCTTCTCAAGTAGGTGTCAGACTCCTCAACTGTCTTCCTGAAAGGCTTAAAAGTCTGGAAAGTTCCCTTCTATTCAAAACGAAACTGAAGCGTGACTTAATAAATCAGGCATTCTATTCGGTGGATGAGTTCACTGCACACCGTTGGAGTTAAGGGCCACAGTATTATATTCCCCAGGGGTTATGAGTTAAATATTTTAAGGTTTTCTTGATAAATGTATAATGTTTTTTTAGTTTTCCTCCATTTCTTAATGTATTGATTAATTTGTTTCAAGTTAAATTTAATAAAGTGTAATTTTATAAAATAACCCCTATGTAATTATGTAATTATAAATAATAGAATCACACAATGTAAAAATGCTACACAATGTAAAAATTGTAAAGAGCAATAAATAAATAAATATGTTTGGGCAGTGTTAGTAAACCTTCATTTGATGTTTTCACTATCAGCAAGTTTGGTTGGTTAGGTTAGGTTATGATAGTTTAATTTTATAACTGATATAGCTGACCAGACGCAGTGACAGGCGATGACAGGTAATGGCACGCGCTCCGGTCAACGACCCTGACCTTGGCCTACTTGGAGGGGATTCTGCGAGTAGACACATGACTCATCTGATAACGCTCGACTCACAACAATACTAGAATAGTTCTACTACAACATCTATAACAATTTAACCCTCTATAAGTGCCGCGGCGCGTTTCGTAATGGTGGCCTCCGTTTAATACTCAAGTACCATTTCAAGACTTCCGAGATCACAGGAGGTAGTGGTGATGCCTTTGCGACCACGGAGAAAGTGGGTATGTCAAGATATTGTCGCGATTACAGGAGGTGAAGACTACGATGTCTTCCTGTCAGCTTGACACTGTCAATGTACAGTATATTACTGAAATCACGGGAATGGATGGCTATGTCTTTGCAACCGCGGGCGAATGACAATTATTGTCCTGGTCACGGATTATTGTCATGACGACTTTATGATGCAGGCAGTCAGAACACCGCATTCTCGGAGAGAAATAGAAATAGTTCTACGTTAAGCATACTTTCTTCATTCCTGTAATTATGTGGTTTGGCATTTGTCCATTAATAATGTCAAAATGTATTTGTTATAACAATTTAATTTTTTCTGTGTTAGATGAAGAACCCTCCAGAATTAACTGTAATGAGCATGGCCATTTCATCCTTTCAAAATGACCCAACTAACTATCGTGACTACTTCATCATCCTCATAACTTTTGTATGGAAAATTAATGTTCCTATTAAACTTTCTGTATTTACAAATACCTGGAGTTTTTATTAACTTTTGTAAATTCTTGTTTCAGTGTGGGAAGGTGGCAGAAGGCAATTTATTTTGTAGGGTAAATAAAATAGCAGTATTAAATGGAGGGGACTTTGCTCTCCCCCCCCACCCCGGATGGGCACTTCTGCTCGACCTCTATTATTGCAATGTCACCGGAACAGTTAGGCAAACCTCGCCTCCTCCATGTAGCCATAGTTGGTCCGATGATTAATGATTGACATCTTTTCCAGGGCCAAGTATTGGTTTTGGTGGAGATTTTTCTCATCGTCTAATGGAAGTTCAAATAAGAATTCATAACTGACCACATCTTATGGAAAAGTTTAGTGGACATTGAATACCTACGTGAGTCACAAGGTGCGTGTTTGAAGAGGAGCGGATTTATAAAAGGTGAGATTCAATAACAAAGTATACATATCAGAGGAGGATTGAAAAATATTTGAAACATATAAAAAAATTCATTGAATTTTGAAATGATTTATGCAAGAAACATTAAACAATAAAAGTCATAAATGGTACCTGTAGACTGCAACCTGAGTCTTTTATAAATGTTTAGAGATAAAAACATTTAGTAATAAAAAATAAAAAACTTAGTAGTTATATTATGATTGAACATTTGTTGACGAGTGTTGTTCTGAGTGTGGCCTGATAAATGGCCGAGTGGTCTAATACCCTGTTTCCCTGGCCTGGGTATCTTAGATCTTGGGTTCAAATCCTGTATCTATCAGGTCTGGTGTGAAGATCATGAGGAGTTCACCAGTCTATGCTAGAGCTTGGAGGGAGACTCGCCTAAAACATATGCAGATGGCTTGGGTGAAAATTAACGAGATGTGCAGACTATTTGTGGTATAGGCTACCAATGAGTTTATAAGTTTCATTTTGTGTGATTTAATTTTTGTCATTACTCGGGCCTTACTTAGGCTCTCAATATAATTTGTTTTGTCTAGATATTAGTGGGTGAAACAAAGTAAAAAGGTAACTATTATATATGTATATTAATTACTTTACATGCATTTTAGTTTAGGTTTGCACTATTCACAACCACTCAGCCACTAATTATACAGTGTGTTTTTTTCTACGCAACGCAAGTTACAGTACCGTAAGACACTTTTTAACGTCAAAACAAGCTGATGTGTCGGTATCCCTGTGTTCTTTACTTGATTTCTAATCAGCTGATGTATTGTTGCATAGCTATCTATGAGGTTTAGTTTTATTGGGATTTTATTATGTGAATAAGACTCAACAAGGTGTTTTCCCAAGCTCAACAAGTATTGTAGGCTATCGTAGAAGAATACAGTAGAACCTCTTTAATCCGAACCCCTGTAATCCGAACATCCACTAATCCGAACGCCTGATTGCTGTACTCCACACACAGTACAGTAGTTATTTATTGTATACTATATTTATTGATATACGCATCGTAATTATTTCAATTGTAATTTACAGTACTGTTTCTTCTCTATGTTTACTACTGGATTAAATAAACACTGTATTTTACTTTACAAATCATTTTTCACTTTTCTCTAGCTATTGTTATGTAAAAACAACAATATCTATCTATATATATAATACGTGAAGCCGTATTTTGTTAACGCAACTCCTCCCTTATTTGTGGACCAATTTCAACGTTTAAGGTGTCAAAAGATTCGTCTCAATATGTAGTTTTGCAATAAGGTTTTAGAATTTAAAAATTCTTACTCTTAAGGGCGTGAGACCCTCTCAAAGGTCGGGCTATCCCCATAAGAAATACACAGAACAAATTTAAAAACAAAAAAACAGTTGTTTATGAAAAGAAACTCATTAGCTTTTTGGGAGTAAATATTAATGTTTTAGTATTCAGTAGGTTAAGACCAACAGTTAATCAGTTTTGTTGGTAGAACGGAAAATGTCTGAAGTTCAAAGAAGAAATTTTGAAAACGGGAGGAGGAGACCATGTAGAACCTCGGTTAACCGAGGTAATTGGGACCGAGGGTACCTCGGATACGGCGAACCTCGGATAACACGGAACGTAACCTAAAAATCGTTACCGGGGCTAAAAATAGCTCAAGATATACTAAAACATGAACAAAAGTTATTAACTGAACTGTTGTTTAGTTTATTAGTACAAGAAATGTTATTAGTACGCAATAAAACGTGAGAGGAAACGGTAACACTCACAATACTAAACACTGTTTTAATATAACACTCAATTTATTGCACAACTGAATACGTATGATATAGGCTACACAATGTACAGAAGTTTAGTTACAGTACAGTATTCCTGTTTACAAAATAAAATCAAAGAAATGAAAATTAATTTACTGTACATTGTACAAAAATAAACAAAGTAAGCTAACCTTTTTTCCCAAAGAAATCAGTTATTGTTTTTTGACTTAGATTAGAGGATTTAGGCTAGCCGCCCTGTTGCGCCAGCGTCGCAGCCAAACTAAATCGTTTGTTGTTGCGGTTTCTTGTTGTTCAATGTATGCCAGTCACTGAGCTAAAATTATAACTGGAGGTAGCACTGCCATTGCAGAAGTCTGTCAAAAGCGTGTCGCTGATTTTGTTAGGTTGGTATAGCAGCAGGTTTTTTCATCCATAACATGGCTTCTATAACTAGGTTTGCATAGCAGTGAGTTTTTTCATCCAATAACATGGCTTCATTTTAACTCACACCTCACGCAAACATGGCGGCTGGCGACACGCATCTTTGACATTCAGTGCTACCTCCAGTTAGAATTATAGCTCAGTGATGCCAGTGCTCCCTCGATCATTCTTAGACCTTCTGTATGTGATATTTTCTCAGTCGAAACCATCAGATTCATCGCTGTAAAAAAAAACTTTTGTCGAATCGGGGTGGTGGGGAGAGCGAGTGGCTCAGTTGCGTCTCGGCATTGAAACAGTTCGCATTGGTCCGGCGGCGAGCGGTGTCGGGTTACAACACCTGCAGCTGCTCTGGCGAGCGGTGTCGGGTGACAGTGCCGTATGCATTCGGCAAAGATAAGCGCTAAGCTACGCAAATATTTGGCCGAGGAAACACAACAGTTGCCAACATTTTACTGTACAGTAGTTTTAACGCATTGCAGGCTAGCGTGCGTATTGCGATAAAAGGAGCACCCAAACGCTCATTACTGTACGTAGTTTGTGCGTGTTTCTTTTGCTTTTTAAATAAAAAAAATCGTTCGAGGACGGCCTCGGTTAACCCGGAGTCTCGGTTAAGCGAGGCTCGGTTAACCGAGGTTCTACTGTAATAAGGAGAGTAGAGAAAGGGAGGCCTGGTCTAACAGATACACATTCACTTGGTGAGATGAATAATATTTGCCAGTTCCGCTATGCAACTTACTTTGGAAGTGGGAAAATATACGAAGCACATAGTGTTGTCACAGTGGCAAAATAAACTTGCCTAATGTCAGATCATATGGATGTATGCAAGAAATTTTTACTTATGACACTGACAGATCGAGATATTTCAAAACATTTAGTAGAAACCATAATAATGCCATGAGTTGATAAGTTCAAGTAGTAAGATTATACCACATCTTGGCGGACCTTATGTTTTTATTGTAAACTTTTGTATTACTCGCTCTACTTTAATTGAGGAAAAACACAAATGGATTGTTTACTTCTAGGTTATGTTGCCAGTTCCTCGGACGAACTGATACAAAGTTTCTTTTACTGAATTTTAGTGGCATTATTAGACATAAGTGAAGGAATTAGTGTTCATGTATTCAACGATCGAGTAGTTGCAGTCAAGTTTATTTTTATGATTCAGAAGAGGCAAATAATATACGCTGTTCAAAAAGAGAAAATTAAAATTGCTATCCAAATCTTATAGCTACAAGAGTTATCCAACCTATTTCGAAAAATGAATCCATACTTTCAAAAAAACTTTGGGACAGGTATTAAGAGAAACCCCACGGAACAACGTGAGAACGTTCTGATGCGGGGCATATACTGTGACTAACACACAACACGTTAACAAACTATCAATGGTGTTGCTGCTTTAGCCTATTCAAAGCAGATTATGGCTTTCCAGTTGATAACCCAGAGTTTGTGGGTAAAAAATTGACCACATTAAATGGTTAATAACTCCACTTTTCAGGATTCTCTATGGAGAAATTCGTTTGATTTGGGGGATGCCTAGGCAACAGTTTTCTTCAATTCTCAACGCTGGAAAAACTTTGTTGCAACATGTTTGCTCGAATTGAAGTAGATCGATTAGCATTCATTAGAAGTTATCAGTTAAAACTGAGAGCAGAAATAATGTAGGTGAACCTTGACGACACAAATATAGATATTTAAAATTAGTTTCTAACATGTGTTTAAACAACTCTAAGCTGTAACTAGAATTACTCGAATTTAAGCATAACGTTTTCCTCGGCGTTGTGTTTCATACTATGCGGCTCATTGAGCCGCACGGGTTCTCTAGTGTTCTGTAATCCGAACTATTCAATAGTCCGAACTATCTCCGGTCCCATTTAGTTCGGATTAAAGAGGCTCTACTGTACATTCAAAGTAATAAGTAATTGGTTTCATGTCAGGAAAGGTTTGATGTTTCCAGTTGTAATTATAATTCGATCTTAAAAAAAATTAAGGAAACCGGACCTGTAGTAAAAACTCGTAGACCAACAATACTTAATTTAAATATTATCTTGCAAAAACCTCTAAATAAATTCCCAATGCCAATAACCCTCGTAGATAACTGTGCGACCATGCATATTAGTTGATTGGCAATGAAGTAAAGAAAACAGGGATGCCAACATATGAGCTTATTTCTCGTGTCTAAAGCTCAACTTCACTTGGTCGGGATATCGAACTCTGATTTTTAATTTCTGGTAACATTAGTAGGTCATAAATGCGTTTTGTTGTAAACCAATTACCCTAGTGTGAAAGATATTGCTAATCTACCTTGAGTATGTTGGTTAGTGGGGATTCTTATCATTCTCTAATGTTTGTTTAAAATATCCCTGCAATGCATATTAAATATTTTTCCGGCAATAATTTGTGCATTATCTAGCAATGTAAAGACGTTTTCTGCTAAAGAATGTGTTACAGTTGCCGATGAATATCATAGTAAGTGGCAATTCGACCACTGTCTAGGTGCTATTGACGGTAAAGACGTATTGCACTCACCATCGTATAGTGGATACACGTTTAACACAAAGACATACTGTAAGGGGTTGCAACACAATGGGCTGCTCTCTCCGAACTGGACAAAGGTTTGCTCCTAGAGCAAACGTTTTGGCTGAACAAAAATTGCGACACGCTACCCCCACTCTCACTCTCCAAACGGTCGCTCAACGTTTATCGATGCGTTTACACTTAACGAATACCGAACGTTCGCTTGTTCAGCAAACATTGTTCGTCAAGTGTGGACGCACCTTTACAGTACTTGTAATTTGGGTTGCGCTTAAAAAACACCCCGGAGGCCTATATATCTAATCATACCATTGCCAGTGTCTTATCTCAAATGCTGACTAAACAAATAATGTTCTGTTCCAGTCCTGCTTGCTTTATACTTACCATCAACTTGGACATTCAGAAAGCGGTTGGAGAAGTAAGAAAATTGTTTTACTAACAAGTCCTGAAATGGCAGCGTTGCGACAATTCTTAAAGTTGCCTGTGAGGAATCCAAGCACTTTAAAGACAACGTTTACCAATGTAAGAAACCTATCAGTCAACACTACATGCAAAAGTGCTTACGACTCTGACGGGAAAACTGTTGTAAGTGTTATGAACAATGAAGAGGATGCCCCATTGATGATAAACTCATACAGCATTTTAGGATTCCGTCTCAACAACGGTTGCTTCGTTATCGGGCCCGTAGCTATCTTCCCACACTCGGTTTTGAGCTGGGACATCAAAGATGATCGTGACATCAATGAGAAAAGTCTTTCGTTGTTTCTCCGTCTCTTTCCAAAATTGGATGTATTATTGATTGGTATTAGTGATGCAAGAGACGCAAAACTGCTCTTGGAGACAAGAAATAACGTCAGGAACATATTGGGAAACTTGAAGAAAGGTGATAAGATGAACATTGAGGTGCTTCCGACAGAAAAGGCTGTGACGACTTTTAATTTTTTGAATGCAGAGAAGCGTTTTGTAGCTGCTGCTTTGGTTCCCCCAACTACCTACTCTCCCACGTTAGACGACGAGTTCAGAGTCGACTATTTAAATAAGAAGGCAGAAGAGGAATATCTCTTACCTACTATATAAGTGATTACAATGAAAGTGCTTTGTTAACTTATGCTGTGTTTAGGCCGTGTATATTTTAGAAGAAAAATTCTATTTATAATATTTAGGATTTTCTTTGTAAATAATTAAATATTAGATTGTTTTACGATGTTTACTTGACCTGCCAATGCTGCCCTTTAGGCTATATTCATTTGGAATCTTAGTAAGAAATGTTTGTTATCTACCAATTAAGTTGTGCTAGCTCGAAATTGTGCTTACAGTTTGGGGAATATTCGAATGCTGTTATAAATAAGACGGGTTTCTACAACACTTATAACAACCACTAATCTAAGATGAGTTGTGAAAATTGTGTGAAGATCGTAACTAGACAAACTACTTGATTTTACTTGTTTAACTTTAGTACAACCGTACAAGCTGACCCAGCAAACGTTATTTGGCCAACCACCAATTCTAAACACACAGAAGAACTTATCAATTCCAATGTATATTTTGATAGACTAAATTAAAATTAACTAGGTAACTTATTATAAGTGTACATATGGTAGCCTACATAACTGGAATAGGAATGGAGTGCTGTGAATGACAGCCTGCAGCTTCTGTTAAATAGATTGTAAATATCATAGTCCATCACCTCTATCATCATGTACTTGTCTACGGCGAATTGTAGGAAAAGATCACAGCACAGTGGGGGACGCTATCCTGATTGCGTCTAATCATCAGACGATAAGCTTTAAACTTTTGCGATGACGTTCTTGTTTGTTTTGGTTAGTACTACAGGATCCCGTTGGTTAATATTTATGCAATATCCGTCTTTTCACTACCAGAACATTTGCTGATATTGGAGAGATCCATTGGCCGGTGTTTAATGACAATGAACTTAAGATTATTATTACAGTACTTCACAATTTATCATGTAGTTGTATGGCCGCCAACTGTGACTCTAGTAACATAGTCAAAAACAGATGTATTGGATCTAAGAGTGTCCTCTCCGAAGGATGAATTGAATTTAAGGATGGTGATTTGGGTCATTGGAAGTCTATCCCCGGAAATTTATCCTGATGAAAAAATGTTTACGTCATTTTGAGGTTGCTGGTCTGGGGTAGATTTCCGGCCACGAACTTTTAGGACAGAAAAATTATTTTTTATTTCAATCAACTCGCCTTTAACGGTTTTTCTTAACAATTGTAACTAATCAAAATTCCAATAAACCTCACACCTGCATTTTACCCCCCGAAATCTACCCCAGTGGTCAAATCAGAAATGTCTGACCCCGGAATTCTACCCCCGGAAAGTTACCCTGTGGTAAAGTTAGACAAGTCTGACACCAAAATTCTACACCCGGAAATCTACACCCCCTGGTCGGCGTAGCTACCTATCGGTCAAGGTTCATTGTTGTAGGTAGTTGATTTAATGCTAACCTGACCTAACCTAGTCAGAAGGTAATAATTAACAGAAGAGCCGTTGACTTACATAAGCCAATTAAATAAAATCAACTACAACAATGAATCTTGACTGATACGTTGCGTAGCCAATAGTCCAGTCAAGGAATGAGGTGTAGAGTGCGTGAGCAGGTAACTAAGCGATTCCTTCAGAAACTTGTTCAGGGGGCTTAGGGTGTTAACATACCAAAAGTCCTGACTCCTAGGTGGTGAGCCAGGGGGTGGAGGGGGAAAAAGGGGGGGGGAGAAAGGTACGCATTTTGGGTTTTTTGATTATATCTCGAAAACTATCAACTTTTTGTATACTATAGTAAATTATAAAATTGAAGAAGATAAAATTTTCTACAAGAAAAGTATATAATGTGTTTATTTTGGTTCAACAGATTACGAGTTATAACCTATTTAATTGACATCTTATTAAAATCTCCTTCCATAAGAAATACATGTAAATTAGTATGCGAAATGGGGCGAATCCTATCCGCCCAAAGGAAATATAAATGATATTCTGGAAATCTTGACAACATTTCTAGTAATTTGACACTTTAATCATTAAAATTGATCCAAAATTAAGGCGAGGGCGAGGTAACAAAATGTCGAGTTTTGGTGTTTTTTTAATTGGAAATATAAAAAAAAAACCTTAAATCATCCCATTTTTAAACGCTCACCCTCGCTTTAATTTTTGACAAAATTTCATGATTAAAGTGTCAAATTACTGGAAATTTTGTCAAGATTTCCAGAATATCAGTTATATTTCCTTTGGGCGGAAAGGATTCGCCCCATTTCGCATACTAATTTACATGTATTTCTTATGGAAGGAGTATTTTAATAAGATATCAATAAAATAAGTTATAACTCGTAATCTGTTGAACCAAAATAAACACATTATATACTTTTCTTGTAGAAAATTTAATCTTCTTCAATTTTATAATTTACTATAGTATACAAAAAGTTGATAGTTTTCGATATATAATCAAAAAACCCAAAATGCGTACCTTTCTCCCCCCCCCTTTTTCCCCCCTCCACCCCCTGGCTCACCACCTAGGAGTCAGGACTTTTGGTATGTTAACACCCTAAGCCCCCTGAACAAGTTTCTGAAGGAATCGCTTAGTTACCTGCTCATGCACTCTACACCTACTTTTGGATCATTCATTGACTGGACTACAACCACAAGGGTGGAATTCCAGGGTCAGACATTTCTGAGACACTGGGGGTACATTTCAGTGGGTAGATTTCCAGGGGCAAAATTCCGTGGTATGGCAAATCACTTTATAAGCAAACAACTACATATGTTAAACCATATGCATATGTTGATTAATATATTGAATAGGGGTAAATTTTCGGGGGTAGAATAAACCCTGGTGTTTTTTGCCTCTGAGGACCTAAACAAATAAATGAATAAATCGGTCCTGGGTCCAGGTCTTACCATGAGACCTACTACAGTGTAATGGCTTATTCCCTACATGGAGTATTTGCTTAAACAGATTCTGAAGTTACTACTTTCTCCCCTTATATGGAGAAAGTATTGGTTTTGTCAAAATTTTCTGTTTTGGGTGGAGGTATCCTTTTTTTGAGTCCCATGAACCCTGGTTTTCTAAGTGATGTATGTTTGTGTTGATGTATACAAAGGTACAAACCACACCTGTGGTCCAACTTTAATGAAATTTGGTATGTGGTTAAACTTAAAGTGCCTCCAGGAGTTTTTGTAGTTTTTGCTCTTTATTGGTGATTTTCCACAAAAGCCTATAAAATAACCCGAAAAAATCTCATTTAAAAAAATTTGATTAAAATTTAATATATTATAGTCCTTTTAGCTCTTAACATAACAGTACGACCCCTATTGCTGTAAAAATTGAGGTTCTTAAGTTTTTGTAACTTTTGTGATTTCCCCCATCAAATATCATATAGTTACTACCAACGCTTACCCAAAAGTACTACTTGCAAGAAGTACTAATAAAGCTTGTAACCCATAAGAGGGTTGTTGTTAGCTTCTCTAATGGGAAAAGTACTGCTATATGTGTCAGATTGATGATACCTTTAATTTTCTTATAATTTAAAACTTCTTTAAAGTAATGCTGCTAATTTATGTGTTTCCAAATCAGTAATAATATGCTACTGACCATCATGCAACACAAATATATTTCTAACAGTATGCGAAGATTTTCTCTGCGATGCACAGGAGCTGAGAAAAAAGGTTTTCAAAAAAACATGCTGGTCTATTAATATATAGAATTAGCCCTATGTCAAATCTCCATAAGAAAAGTTTAATATTCATTTTTGACCCAATTAACATAAATATTTTCAAAATAAAAATAAAACCTGCACATTTAGGACCGATAACTTTTCTTTTGGTACAACCCGCGTGTAATTCGGTCCAGGAGCATGGCCAGGCTAGCTGGCTAGCTGTCATAAATTTTGCAAAAGTGTTTTATTATATAAGATTTAGTATTTAAGATAATGACCCATGACCACTCTCAACACCATGAGTGAAGAGTAAACTGTCGTATGTCAATTACCATAGCTAGGCCTATATACAAAATTGTTTGTTGCACGATGTACTTTGAAGTCACAATCGGGATGCAAATGATTAAAACTAGGCCTATACACAAATTCATCATGACCAGCATACTGTCAAAAAACAGTCATACTCTTTCTTAATCAGCTGGATTCCATATCTAAAAGTTTTGTCCGTATGTCGGATCGCCTTATAGAGGGTGTTTGTGAACTCTCTCGAAAAAATTCACAGGATTATTCCTTGGGTTTATACATGAATATTTTACATTATAAACATGGGTCGCCGGAGCCTCGTTTTCCGTCTGTCTGTATGTATGTGTTTTTTATAAATAACCTTATAACTCGAGTTTGAATCGAGGTACAAACTTTAAATTTGACACACTTGTGTATTTTAACGTGGTACACAAACATGCAAAATTTCATTTCGTTGACTATAGCCGTTTCAAAATGGCGGCCATCTAAAATCTTTGACCTCAAATTTCATGTTTCATGATGGGTTAGCCTCTGGATCGTAAATTGCAATATAAAAATGGTTTATTTTACCTTTTTGCGTCGAACGATCCGTGTGTAGTTAGTATAACTACAGCTGTTTCATACCACTAGGGTACATCATCAGGTTGTTGGCAGAACGTTAGATACGTTAGAGTCATGACGCAACATCCATCGGCGCCTGTCTCGTGTGTTCGTTACTTGGCCAAGTTCGTAAATTCGTGTTTTTTAAATGTTTTTCGTGTATTATGTGTATATAGACATATTTATTTCGACAAGTTCATCTATTAATGAATGCTGTTTTATCTAACGTTCTACCAACAACCTGATGATGTACCCTAGTGGTATGAAACAGCTGTAGTTGTACTAACTACACACGGATCGTTCGACGCAAAAAGGTAAAATAAACCATTTTTATATTCATGAAAACCACTAGAGTTACAAAAAAAACAAAAAAAACACAAGGATAACAAAATGTAGGAAATTTTATGCCAAATCAAATGACACATAGACCTTAAAGATCGGACAACAAACTACAGCTGAGTTATTAATTTTTTAAATAATTAATAATTCTTTACTGGCTTTTAATTGTTATTGTTTATTCTTTAAAATCATCTGATCCTTTCTAAATTGTTATAACAATGTAAGACAGCTGGTTGGACAGATGATTTTGAGATGATGATCAGATGATTTTTTTGAGTTATTAGTTTTTTAAATAATTAATAATTTCTTTACTGGCTTTTAATTGTTATTGTTTATTCTTTAAAATCATCTGATCCTTTCTAAATTGTTACAACAATGTAAGACAGCAGGTTTGCCCTAACAACAACATTTAGTTTTTTTACTAGATGGTAAATGTATTAAGTGTCCTATTTTTACCTTAACTATTGAGATATGTTTAAGGTTACGTAATGTACTCTGTATCGTATCAGATGATTTTAAGCCCCGTTCACACGGGGCGAGTTTACAAGCTACACGCCGGCTTTTTTACACGCAGCTAGTAAAATAGCTCAGTGTGAACGACGTACTCGCTCAAAAGCTGCTTGTAAAAAAGCTCTGGAAAAAGTTGACGCTGCCGCTACTTTACACGCCAACTCGCCAGCTTTTGCGCGAGTAGGCGTGTAAAGTAGCCCAGTGTGAACACAGTTGCTTGTGCTTGTGCGCTTGTTACTCAAAGATGTTGGAGGATTTGGTTCAAGCCAGCTACTGAGCGAGTGGAAAAAGCATCGTGTGAACGACTACAAGCGCACTCGCCGACTCGCCGGCGTCTTTCTACACGTCTGCGAGTTGGCGAGTGGACAAGCTCCGTGTGAACGAATACAAGCACACTCGCCAACTCGCCGGCTTCTTACACGCTGGCGTGTAGCTTGTAAACTCGCCCCGTGTGAACGGGCCTTTAATGAATAAACAATAACAATTAGAAGCCAGTAAAGAAATTATTAGTTATTAAAAAAAATAACTCAGCTGTTTGTTGTCCAATCTTTAAGATCTATGTGTCATTTGATTTGGCATCAAATTTCCTACATTTTGTTATTCTTGTGTCTTTTTTGTAACTCTAGTGGTTTTCATGTAATTTGTAGTTATAAGGTTATTTATAAAAAACACATACATACAGACAGACGGAAAACGAGGCTCCGGCGACCCATGTTTATAATGTAAAATATTCAAGTATTAACCCAAGGAATAATCCTGTGAATTTTTTCGAGAGAGTTCACAAACACCCTGTATGCAGTCCCTATATTTAACCTCTCTAAAATCACTTATCTTACACTGAGTGATTATAATGTAAGAGTTTTGAAGTAAAAGTACATTATTTTGTTGAGCGTTCCGTGTGAAATTTTTACATGGTAAACGACAACAGCAAAAGATATCTTTTTCAGCTTAAAACTATGTTCACCTAATCTGTTCTATGATAATCCTTTCTACATTATTTTTGAGCAAAATGAAGCAATATGTATTTATGTGACCAGCATTTCACGTAAATAGTGTTAAAAAAGTCCATAAAATTCACGGTTCTTCGAGGATTTAATTTTCAAACAAAAAATCACATCCAGGTTAGTAAATAATGTATGTATGTTGTCACAGTATTAACCTTTTTGGAAAATGTGTACCTATCAATGCTAACTTACAAATTTATCCTAATAAGTTACTGCAGTAAAATAACAACCAAAAAGCTATTAGTAAACACATTTAACCAATCGATTACGTAATCCTCAAAGAGACAGCTTACTCTATCTGTGTACAGTATACGTAATTATAATGATCAAAGAAAGAAATAAAAAAAATGTTTCTTATGTGATAAAAATTGTTAAATGCAAAAGGAGAACAAAGTCCGCTACTGAGGTGTAAGTATCCAAGTCAGATCACCATTAGATGGGTCCTATTGGGTTCTCAATGTCAAGAAAGGTAGAGAAATGAACCTCTTTCGACACCTAGCAGCATCGGTCCTCCGATGAGAAGCGCTCGGCGGTCCTGTATATATGGCGCCGCGAATCCACATCTTCCCTGCGAGAACCAAAAATGTTTATTGCAATACCTGTCATATTTTTTGTTCTTTTATACGTTTTATCGCTTTATTGTTGTGTAATATCATAAACTGAGCATTATATCTATGGTAATATATTTTACTCTTTTTAATAATTAACTGTTATTATTTTTATGGTTATTGATTTGTCTGTATTTTTTTACAACTGTATTTTAATAAAATATACAAATTTAATTTAGTTATATAAATTCATAGTAGGGCTATAACTCTAGCCTGGCCTCGTCAAGTTTATATAACATGGTGTCGTTGGTAAAATATAATAAATACAATTTATACATAAAAAAATAAAAAAATACAGGTTTGTAATTATCTATATTATTAACTAGCTGGCCCGACAGACGTCGTCATGTCCTATAAACCTATAATGTGGTTTTATGTCAAAGTCAAATGCTCGTTCATTTTCAAGATGAACTCATTCGCATGGCTCAATCACGTCCTGGTTGAAGTTCGTTCGCTACGCTCACTCACCTTTTGGTTGCAAATTAGCTGTTGTCATAAATTTAAAAAAATAATCTTGCTGCACCCTGTTGGTAAACCTATTAACTTTTTAATGCTGTTGAAATCACAGAATCAAATTGTTTAGTTGAACCATAGATAAGGCATATGTCTCACTGTTTGGTTATATAGCTAGTGGACGAGTTATTGTTTATGATTATATAGTTTTATTTGGTTAAACGAGGTTTTAAATTACTGAAATAACAAGAAACAAATTGTAAACAAAACACGACATCTACAGAAAACCGGACAGAACTAACAATAAAATTGGCTTCAGCTGCCTAAGGATGGGAAATCTACTAAAGGGACTATGTTTTATCTATGGTTGAACCATAGGTTGAACCAGCTGTTAAGATTCTAATTCCATTTAAATATGAGTACTCATAAGGTTAACATGGGAAACTCCATAGCCACTGGGACGGAGCCCTTTCGACGGATCTGCACCAAAATTCACACACATAGTCCTTGAATAATGCTTAATAATGCCTGAAAGTTTCATTACAATCTGTCGAGCGGTTTCGGAGTCCATAAAGGACAAACAAACATACGTTGGATTTTATACAGGGTAAGTTTTAAATGAGTCCCCTCCCCCTAATCTTTTCTACATTTCTTAAGATATCAACTCCGGACCACGTCAGATCATTGTAGAGTAGTAAGTACTTCATTTTGACTGGGTATACATTTTTGGCCACCATCTTGGATCGCCATGTTGAATACTATTTTTTTTAATGTAAGGGTAGGGTTGTGACTCATCGTTTCAAACTAGATTTTTACGCTGAATACGATGCTGCAATCCGTTTTAACTTTATTTTTTTAGCCCATTTTAACATTGTGCATTTACAAACTAAGACCATAATCGCAAAATAGTGCTAGATAAAGAAAAGCTTACCACCAGTCATTGTCAAGCTATTTTCGCTTGGTTATGAGGGATGTATTTTTCGGCCGCCATCTTGGATCCGCCATTTTGAAATGAGATAAATTATTTTAAATATGAAGGTGGTGTTGTGACCCATCATTTTGAATTATTTTTTTATGCTGAACTCAATGGCACAATCCAAGTGCATTTTTACCACGGGGCATCTAGGTACAGTACTTTTTATCATGCTCTCCTCCTGTACTTCTTTTTAAGCTAAAATACCACATTGCAAACAACAATGGTGATTAATAGGCCTTAATGTACGCATAAACGCACACAACACATTTAAACAACTTCTTTTTATCCAGCACCAGCCTTAAAATACCTACTTTGTATGGTCGCCATTTCAATGAAAAGTATTAAAGCACACATAATACAACCTTACAAGAATACTTACTAAACTATTCCACAGGAATCGAAGGTTGATCGAGTGATATGAGTCATCCTTTTCAGTAGCAAAACTCACAAACATGTTTTCGCATGTTTTATCAGTTTGTAGGTTAGGGAATCCAAAATATTTTCTGTAAACTCACACTTATAGGTTTTCGTTTGAGGATCGCGGAAGTTGATAAGTAGTGTTTGTCTGTAGAGTTACCCAATGACATTATGTTGGCCTAGCCTCTAGCCATGAGGCCTGTAGCCTACGCTCTACCCCAGGAGAAGGGGTGTATTTAAGGTGGGTGCACGGTCGCCGCCCCCCACTCTACCTTGGACCATCATGTCACCAATAGCGTGGCCTACATTACAGGTATGTTAACTCATCGTTGTAGACTTCTAGGAAACCTTGTAGGATTTCAAAAGTTTTAATAGAATATTTTTTTTCTGTTTGATGTAATTTTGTCTGCAATTATCATTTCCTTTCATCGTGTGATTTATATGGGGCGTTGAACTTAATGTGTTTAAGATGAAAAACTAGGACTACTTAACAAACAAAGTGATATATTTACAACACAAAACTGTAGTACATATTTGATTTACTTTTGAATTCTTTAAACATTTAAGATACCTTCTAAAAGATTTTCACGGACATTCTCCATCACGATTAATAAAAAACAAAATTTCGTTTTTGAAAGTTGTTTTAACATTACTTACCGTAATGAAAAATTCCCGTGATGATAACAACTCACCATCCACAAAAATGAAACAAAGAACCTTTTTAAAGGGTAGATATTATTTTGTAGATAACACATTTACATTGTTCATTATGTGCATATTATGGAATCACATAATAATTTACATTTTGAGGGGGCGAATAAC